AGAAATGTTTAAAAACAACATTACTTCATATAAATAACTATACAGTAGTCAGAGCATCACGTCTACGGCTAACGGCAGAGCTGAACCAATGATCTAAGAATTTCTTCCCTGACCTTGCGCTTTTGGTAGTCATTTGAAAGAGCGACTTTTCACGATTATGGCAACCCCAAAATAACTCACGCTCGCGTTGAAACTGTAACGGTAAACCCCAAAGAAGCAGGTCACGTGATCTTTTCTGCAGTTTGCCGTTTGACGTAAACGTCATGCTTGAGCTGTCTAATGGCGTTCATTAACCCATGAGCCTGGAATATTCGTATTGTGGCAAAGTGGTCGATTAATAAAATAAAGGAAAAGGAAAACGAGGCAATTAAAGTGTATGTTACAAAATCTGGTGTGTTAGCTCTCATTTATTTTTTTGTTTGCATTTGTCTTTTGCTTACCATCTCATAAAGCTCGATTGCCTAAAAAACATGAACGAAATCCAATCAGAATGAAACAAACACAATAATACTTTATTTAGAGGCAATCGTCCCCACGTTTCAATTTCCAGCTTCCCTAGCCCTGCCAATTTCTGACAAACCCTAATTTCGGTCTTTATTCCATTTCTCTATCCTGTGTACATTCGTTCCTCAGCCCTCCAAAAAAAATCGGGGGAGACAACGTCTTTGATTTGCCGTTTATTATCGTCTTCTGAGGTGTCCTGTGGTGCATGTACACAGATGGAAGGACGGAATTAAACGTGAAAAATGGACTCCATGGACATACAAATTTTTTCTTAGCTATGGTGCGGGACTTTGGCCCCACGTGATGGGAGCTCCACTATAAGACGGATCATATACTTAGACTTGACGGTTGGAAATTGAATCGTACGCCAGTCATGTATCAAAAACATTATTTCACTAAATTAATTCTATATAAATTGATTATATTTCTAGCACTTTGATTATTATCAGCTAGAGCAGAAGTTTGAAAAATGAGCACAGTGTGCCATTTTTTCTACAAACACGCTCTCCCATCCATTTTATTTTGTTTTTGACCGGTTTTACGTTATGATGCACGATATTTTCAACAGTCAAGCCCGCGGAAAATTTGAAACTGCTTATTTGAACTGTTTATTCGATACACGACACGATCAATATCAAATAAATGTCAAATAAATGTGTTTACATTGATGGCATCATCATTGAATCATGTAAACATTCCGTTTTCATTTCATGGGTGTTAAAAAAACTGGAGTTGTATCAGACGTACCTGTAATTCTCTTCCACATTCTGGCTCCTAAAAATTGAAACAATATTACTTGGTTACGGCAGCCAACTATTAAATCACTATACAATGGATTTCATTAGCCTGGTTCGAAGTTTTGGAAATTCGTCGGTTAGTGAATTAATTAAAGAAAAAGTAAAACCGGACAATTAAAGCGCAATGAAGGCTTGTACGCTAAAGTGTATTTCACGGGTCAATAAAAAAAAACGTTTAGCCAACTAGAGTGGTTTTAATAAACCCGCAAAACACTTAAGGTAAACAATGTGATCATTACAGTCAAGGTTCTATTAGATGGCCATCTATTCTGCGGTCAAACCTCCACTAAGTGGTCATCTGGTCTTTGCTCTTGGTGACCGTATAACAGAGGTTTTACTGCAGTCACTACTTACTATAATTATCGTTTTGTGAATTTCACGTATCTAAGAAATAATAAAAAAGAAAAAGTGTCACCATAATACTCCAATTTCGAGTTCTGATTTGCTCTGTGTTAGCCTCAAAACCAAGCAACATATTCTTTTGTTTTATTGATAGCCTGTGAAAACGAATGAAATTTGAAAAGAAAGACAGTAGAATTGATATGAAATCTCRCCCTTTTATTCTCACAGTTAGGAATATTTTGCGCACAAATGAGGCTAACACAGAGCATTGGAGAATTCGATACTGGATTATTCATCTAACTAATGCTGTTTGTAAATAAGATGAAGGATATCAAATCATTTCTCAATGATAAAACATTTCTTGAGGTTTAACAAGCTTTTAATAAAGTATCAAAATCTTCCTTTGGTATCCAACAGAGTAAGCTTTCATCTGTCTATTCTAATTGATGCAAAGGCTCGCCTGCTTTTCGTAATGTTGCTGGGAAATGTTATATGGAGAAAAGGAAAAGATGCTGATCTTATGACATTCAATTGCTCTGTCAACTGATGGATGAATGTATGGACGGTTGGCTTGGTTTTGATTAGCAATTGTTACTACTTACCGGTTCTTCTTCTTCACCTACGTCCTCCTTAAAATGTTAACAATATTACTACGTTAACTGCTATTAATGAAAATTGGATGAAATAGAAAGATGAAAATTTCTTGAAAAAGCACTCAAAACATCCATAGAGGTTCATTGATTGATACACTTATTAAGGCATACCGAAAAGAGTGTTAATAAAGTCACAAAACAAAGAAGTTCTATTAAACGRCYCTSTATTCAGCGGTCAACCTGCACTARKTRGTCACCTGGTYTTTACTCTAGGTGACCKTATAGTAGAGGTTTCGATCTCTGTAGTTACTACTTACTAGATTATCCGCTTCAATTKCAGGTTCCTTAAAATTAATAAAAACGAAAAACTGTCCAGTTTCAAATATATTTACAGTTTTCAAAATGGTGGGAACCGAGTAGCGGTAAACTAGTGTGAGCTGCGTCGGTGTTTCTAAAGAAACAGTTAATGTGCAAAAAGATAAATTAAACACCGTAAAAAAGTAGGTTGAATAACTTACTGACGTTTAATTTCGGACGTTTGAACGAAAATTAAAATTCTTCGTCGAAGGATTAACGTCCGAAACGTCAGTGAGTTTCACCTACTTTTTACGGTGTTTAATTTATCTTTTTACACAACTGCATATTTACTTTTTGTCTGTTGCTGGAAAATGTTATATGGAGAATCAATGAAAGATGTTGATTTCGTTACATTACT